AGAGGGAACATCAATAGTGATCCAATTTTGGACTCTGACTCTATGCGTCACGTAGTTCGACATCTCTTGCTCTGATTCATCTTCCAAAATAGCATTGATCTTATGAATAGTTGGATGAAGATAACCTCCACTGTGAAAAATGTCTTGATATTTGCCCAAAGCAGACTCCGGCCTCATAATCTCACCTTTATTATTCTTCACGGAGAAACCTAAACCAACTCTATTCTTATTCACAGGTGGATTAACAATCTGCCCCCACGCCTTGCTAGGGCCATTATGCACTACCTGTTGAGCATCCTTAAATGAGGATATAGAATCCTCATTTTTACTTACATTATCAATGGATAAAGCTTGGAACTGAGTTCCAACAACAACTTCATTTGCTTCCACAATATCGAAAGAGGATGAATGAGATATTAACAAATCTTGTTCTCCATTTATGATGACCACCTTTCCTCATGAACAAAATTCAACTTCTGGTGCAAAGTTGAAGTACCAGCTCCTGCCTCGTGGATCTATGGTCATCCCAATAAACAACTATAGGCAGGAGCTATATCCATAACCTGGAAAGTAATCTGAAATAAGTGCGGGCCTATGTGAATAGGAGAATCTACTTCTCCGATGACATACTTCCTCGAACCGTCAAAAGCTTTCACAATTATGCCACTCGGGTGCATGGGAGTTCCCTGGTACTTAGGCTTCATGAGTGTGCTTCTCGGTATGACATTCAAAGCAGACCCATTATCGATCAACACATTGGATAAAGAGTCATTCTTATAATTCATGGAGATATGGAGAGCCATGTTATGATTCCTTCCTTCATTAGGAAATTTTTTATCACAGAAACTCAAGTTATTACAAGATGTAATATTCACCATAACACTGTTGAATTGGTCTAGAGATACATCACTTTCCATAAAAGCTTGATCCAATACTCTCATCAAAGATTCCCTATGGGCAGAAGAGTTCATTAACAATGCTAGAATGGATATCTTAGATGGGGTTTGTAACAATTGATCTACAATCTTGTAGTCACTCATCTTGATAATCTTCAATAGGTCGTCCACATCTTTTTCCAAAGCAGTACCACTAGATTCACCCACTGCTTTCTTAGGTTCAGTATTTTCAACAACCCTTTTATTAGAATTGACATTCCCTCGACTGACAGAAGCAAAAACATGGCCACTGCGGGTCACTCAGCTGGCTTCAGCAATATTCTTGACATCAGACAAAGGTTGGATGGGAATTTCCATAATATCCTCTAGGATTCTCGTATTGTATTTATATGGCACAACTTTGTCTGATTCATATGGTACAGGGCCTGGCAGGAAAATAACCATTGGAGCAACAACTGGCTTGCTATGGTACTCAATCTCTATAGGGGTGGGAACACAAAAAAATAGAACAATAACATTCACCCCTTCTTCAGAATACTTAGACATCACATAATCATTGTTGGAGGACATATCTTCATCAGAAGAAAATAACTCATCTGCAGAAACATACTCATCATCTGACATGGTCTCGGCTGAGCAATCTTCAATCGCGTTAATTCCATTATAATCATCTTTATTGCCTGAGACTTTGATAGTACCATTATCTAACAACAACTGAACGCCTTTTTTCATAATTGAACAACCATGAGAATCTCTGCAACAGATCTGACAAGACCCATAATGGTGTTCTTCTTGGCCATCCATGTGACAGAATGTAGCGTGCAGCTGCACCAAATCATCATTCATATAATTCACGTCAAAAATCCGGAATTCACTGGGACACCCATAGAACATATTCACATTTTCCTCGTACTCTTCCCTAGGCCTGATTATATGAATAAGACCTTCGTCCATCATTTCTTGAAGATCGACTTTTATCTTATCACGTCCCTAGATATTTGTACTGCAAATACTACAACCAGCATGGTCGTGTGTATAGTAGCTGAATTCATAGAGGTCAGCATGCATCTTCACCATATCCCCTCTAACTAGGTTGATATCAAAAATCTGGAAGTCCCCAGGACAACCAGCAACCATATTTACAACATTTGCACCTCCATGTTTAAGCAAAGGATTATCTTTCACGCTAGGGCCAACATCTTTAATGGATAGGAGGCTAGATCTCACGATCTTTTGTACTTCAGATTTCAAAGGATAACAGTTCTCGATGTTATGCCCTAGGGCTCCTTGATGAAAAGCACACGTATGATCTTCCTTATAATACCAAGGTAAAGGTGAAGGTATAATAGGGGGAGGCCTGGTTTGGACCAACTTTTTCTGAATCAAAGTCGTGAATAACTCTGTATAGCTCATTGGAATAGAGTCAAAATCTTCTCTTTTCTGACTTTACCCTTGATTTCCATGAGGAGGTGGACTCTGATAGGAAATAGTGGTTGGAGCTACATTGACAACTGGATTCATAGAAGCAACCAGTTGTTGGTACCAATGATGTCTTCTAGGTGGTTTAATCTTCCTTTCCCCAATAACATCATTCATTTCACTTTCTTTCTTTCGACATAACTCGTATGCTGACTTCTTTATCCTTTGTCTTTCGTCAAGCGTCCTTCCCTGAAAACTTCTTCTAAACGAACACCCATGCTTACCAATTCGGTGAAATCACTCGGTGCACTGGCAACCATCCTTTCATAATAAAAGGATCCAAGGGTTTTCAGGAAGACCTTGGTCATTTCTTATTCTCCCATTGGTGGTACCACCTGGGCAGCTATCTCGCGCCAACGCTGGGCATATTCTTTGAATGACTCCTTGTCTCTCTGAGCCATCCCCTTAATTGGTCACGGTCTAGCGCAATGAACATATTGTACTTATACTGCTTGATGAAGGCTTCCCCTAGATCATTGAAGATGCAAATATTTCTACTTTCCAAACTCATATACCACTTCAAAGTGGCACCGATTAAACTATCCTGGAAAAAATGAATAAGAAAGCGCTGATCATCAGTATGTGTGGACATTTTTATGATATACATCACCAGGTGGTCACGAGGACAAGAGTTTCCCTTGTACCTCTCAAACTCCGGCACTTTAAACTTTGGTGGAACCTTTACATTAGGAATTAGGCAGAGTTCACTAATGTTCTATCCAAATAATTCTTTTCCTTGAAGGGAATTCATTTCCTTCTGCATCACATTGAATTGATCTTGAAAATCATCCAATTTGTCATAGAAACCCACACTTTGACTTGGTGGAGGAGCAGGACGATAAAATTCATCATTAATAAATGACATAGCACTCACCGTAGGAGGTATAGTATATTGAATCTTATTTCTAGCCATAGGAGTAACATGCACCACATGAGGTTCGTGAGTAGCAACAGCTTGAGAAACTGGAGCAACTTGAGCATCGGGATTGTAACCTTTTGGCATGAAATTTTTAGGCATTCCCCACGGGTAACCTTGAGGCATACGGTTATGTGCAGTAGTAACTGGAGTAATAGAAATGGGAACTGATGAACCTTCATAAGCAACAGTTGTTTGTTGTGGCTGAGCAGAAGGAGAAACAAGTGGTGGCTGATTCTGAGCAGCCACCAATGATTTCATCAAAGCCGTAAGATTAGCCATACCGACCTTCAAAGCAATAATTTTTTCACGCAGCTCGCGATTCTCATGTTCAATATTTTCCATTTTCTTCCTGGAATTAGCCCGAGTATTATACCGGTGAGACAACTTGCTTCTGAACGAGGTAGAGAAACACAATTAGACACCTGGGTATGAACAGAAATACAAGAAATATGTGCAAGGTGATGCATGATATTCAATGCACATAATTTATTTATCATTATTAATAATATTTCAAGGAACTCAAAGATTTATAGACAATTTGCAAATACTAAAGTACTAACACATTTTGAAATAATGAAAATCTTATTATAATAATTTTCAAAATGGATTACAACTTTTAGTATAAGTTTCAACAATATTAAGTACAAGAGAATATAGAATCTAAAATCCTGAGGAGGCAAAGTTGATGAAGATCTCTCCACACACTGACGCTTTCCTGTGAGTCTTCCAATCTGAGACTTCAACTGCTTGTTCTCTTCTGCATACCTGTCGGCGACCTCTTTCCAATCACCAGAGTCAGGAAGTGAGTAACTAAGTCCTGATTGAGCTCTAGAGGAAAATAAATCCTCTTGCCTCTCCATCATCTCCACAACACGACTCTTAAGAATCTCAATCAGATCATCCTTCTCTTTTAAGTCTGCTTGGCAGGACATCTCTAAAGTCTAACACTTGTTCTTCTAAGCCTCCTTCTCCTGCTGCATTCTAACTAGGTGTTGTACCCCAATTTTTGACCTAAGATCCCATATTTATTTTTGCATTTTTAAACATAAGCCAAGGTCACGAAATACGGTTGGTTTTAACCTCTCACCTTCGAGCTTTGACTATGCGAAGATTGTCAAGTGTTTTGAACATTTTTAGCCCATGTATCACTAATTTCTAATCGCATACAAAGGTGTATGTTCATGTTTTCTTTTGTGTCATGTGCAGAGACAGGTCTGGATCAAGAGCATCAGATGTCGCGCCTCAATTAAGGTTTTGATTCTCCCAGGCCAAAAGTACGGTTGATTGTGGATTCTCGAAGACTGATTCATCAAGGCACACCGTTGCACCCTTAATTTCGCCCCTAATATGTTTTAGTCGCACTTTCATATCATATTTTGTTATTTGGTCACAATCATTAGTAAATATCTTCATTCATCACATTTTGCATCATTAGTCGTATTTAAGTTGATCAGAAAAAGTCAGTTTAAATCAAAGTTTGCATCGTCTTTCAGTTGTAAAATACCCGGCGTTTCACATCATTCATTTTTACCTGTTCACTATTTTCTTGCATGACTCCAAATTGTTTATATGTCGATAATAAAATATTTCGGTTTTATAGACAGACTGTTAAAAGCGATTCGACACTATGCGGGAAAGTAGCGAGAAAATATTTCAAGTTTTCACCTTTTACCGATCATTTTATGAATCTGCGCTTCGCGTAGATTATGACGGTATGCTCGCTTTATTTTTTCGGTACAGTTCGAAGTCTCGTTTTTAACCTTAAACGTCTGTTTAGTCTGATATTTTTATTATTATTTCATTTTTTATTTTTGACTTCTTGAATATTTTTTCTTTAATCTTTGTGACATGTAGATTATTTTAATGTGTTCATTTTATTTTTTCGGATAAATTTTTGTCCGTTTTTTTTTATCATTTTCGGTCATTTTGGGTATTTATTTTTTATCCATAAAATATTCAAAAAAATCATTTTAAATTGAGTTAATTTTAATACATTTAGTTTTTTGGTTATTTTTATCATTTAAGGACTATTTGATCACAAAATATATTATTCACACAATACTCTATTCCTATTGGCTGTTGGATGAAATTGAGGATCGATACAAAATCACCAAAAACACAACTCACTTTATACTACTTTCTCTCTCTACATCTTTTGATCTTTTTTTCTCTATCTTCTTTTTTTCTCTCTCTATTTTGTGGGTCCCTCACCCTGCAAACACTAGCACACACAGCTGTATAATTATTATATCTTCCACAACCCGCAACTTCAACTTCCATTGTAACTGCCTCAATTCCAACCCCAAAGCACTATTTTAAAAACCGCAGTAACTCCGAAAAAGACAACAACACAACACAACAAACAACCTTTCATTTCACCATCATACCAAAGACACTTTCAACCCTTCTACTCCTAACATAGTTCCAGAAAGACAGCACGGTGGCGGCGGAGGAGCACCACACGACATTCTTCTAGCTGTCGTTATAGCCATAGTAGTAATCGTCCCTTTCCTTCTCGGAGATCAAGGTGAAGCCGTCACGGAAGCCATATCAGAGCTCTTAAGTCCACTTGGTCTTCTTCTCTTACCAATCATCCTTCTCCTCACTTTCCAGTTCCTCTTCTCTGTTTCCCTCTCCTTCGTCTCTTCACCTTCCTCCCACCCCATTTTTCTCAACTTCAAGCTCTCACTCACTTTCCTTCTCTTCATCACCGCCTCAGCCTTTTCTGGTTCCGTTGCGGCGCTTTCTTTATCCGGATTTAACGATTCTGGAAGAGTTGGGTTAAGGGGTTTCCTTGCTGGTTTGATTTTTGGGTTTCATTATGTTTTTAAGCGTCGTTGGGTTTTGGAGTTTCCCATTATTCAGCGTCCTCCTTTCTTCAACTTCAAGATGGGGATTCCTTTGGATGCTAAACGTGCTTTTAAGCTTTCCACTGTTGCTTTCATTTTTTCTGCTGTTTTGTTAGAGATTATTCCTCACCCTTTTAAGTGCAGCATTGCTACACAGAAATTCTTCGGTGAACAGATTGTGTTCTTTGTTGGTAGTTTTGCTATCTTTTTCTGCTGGGAGTTGACTCATAATTTACATCGGGTTTTACATACTAAAAGATCCGTATTTGCGCCCCCAAAAGGATCAGCAGCTGCAGAAACAAATCCAAGCGAGCATCTCCTTTCAGCCTTGGAGGAGAGTAATCCAAAATCTCTTCTTCGATATCTTGCTTACCTTGATCTTTGTATGGTTTGTGAGAACAATGTTGACACTTGGCGTCGTGCGGCATTTTTTGAAGAATCCGGCGAAACTTACAAGAGAGTAATTGCTGTGTGCTTGAGGCCTCTGGAGCAACTCGCCTCAAGATTAGGTGAGAGCATGAGTGATTCTACTGACAAACCCACCTCTCTATTATGAACTTTAAATGGAATCTCAACATTCGTAGCTTACTGTCATCACTATATTTCATCTACCTTTGTTCATGAACCCACCTACTATTCCCCCTCCAATAATTATTAGTTATACCCTCTCAATTTATTTATTTTAAATAATAATTAGTTTAGTTAATCTAGTTATTTGTAGATTTAATTAAACAACTATGTTTTAGTTAACTAGATGATCTTAATTATTTAGATTAGTTTTAGACTTAATTTAATAACTTTAGAATTTTAATTTAATTAGATATAAATTAGTAATATTAGAACCTTTAATTAGTTTAGGTATATTTTGATAACTTAAAATTTTTAATTTGTTTAGGTCTATTTTATAACTTTAGAACTTCCAATTAGTTTAGATATATTTTGATAACTTTAGAATTTTAATTTAATTTTAGAATTTCAATCTTTAATTTAGAATTAATTTAGTTTTGATTTAAGTTAGTAATTTTATTATTAATATAGTTTAGATTAAATTAGTAATTTTATAATGAATTTAGTTTATACTTAAACTAGTTTAGATGTAATTTAGCAACTTTAGAATTAATTTAGTTTAGACCTAATTCAATAATATTAGAGTGTTAATTTATTTTAGATTTAATTTAATAACTTTCGAATTTCAGTTAGTAACTTTAGAATTTTAATTTATTTTTAGTCAATAACTTCAAAATCTTATTTAATTTAGTTAGACACTTTAGAATTTAAGTTTAGTTTACTTAGTAACCTTAGAATTTCAAATTAGTCTAGATAATTTTTTTAATTACACTTTTCTTTTATTCATGATTCTTCTTTGTCCATTCATTTAGTTTCTTACAATTTATCTTGTTATCTACCTTGTTCGTTTCTCGTGGATTTTAACTATTTATGATTTCTTACTCGAATATTAGATCTACCCACTTATGATTAATTCCAAGGGAAATGTTTCAACTTAGCTGACTTCATGTCATCAAATACATCTTCTACAATCGTGCGAATAGCCTCATTCATTTTTGCTTGTTTACTATTTTTCCAAACTTAAGATAGTTTTCCCAAAAGACTCCATTTTCAAACTCACACCTTTTAAGTCAAAACTTCAACACTAGGTCGTCGTATCTTCAAAAATCTCGTCCATACCCATCTTTTAGCCAAACGAATCATTTTAATCAAACAAACAATTTTAAACCAAAAAACAGATATTTCAAAAGGTTCATGCGGAGTACCGCAGATGCATTGGGTGCTAATACCTTCCCATTGTATAACCAACCCCCGAACTCTCGATCTCTTTTAAAAACGCATTGTATTTTCATTACTTTTAAATATTACTTTACATTGCATATTTTAGGGTTTTATTTCGCTCTTTTCCCTTTTCCCTTTTCCCTTGGAAATAATAAAGCGCGGTGGCGACTCTTGCTTTTGCGAGTCAAGTTAATTAATAGCTTGATCTCCGATTTTCACCGCTACAGAATTGGCGACTCTGCTGGGGAAAGATTGACCTCTTGCTGGTCCATCCCTAAGTGGGTTAAGCCTAATTTGTTTTTATCTATTTTATCATTATTTGATTGTTTGATTATATGTATATATTATGATTATTTGGGTGTTGATAATATTTACAAAGGACAAGTCCTATACCCGGACTAAGTTACACTTAGGAATAGGACGGGCGGTATAGTCATGTTAACTTTGAGGGAGTAATCCCGAAGAAGGAGGCATGAGATCCCCCACTCGGTGGAAGGCCCTTTTGAACGTAATATTTGTTTACCGAGTAATCGGGAAGACATTATTATTTTCTACCTGGGAGCCAGAGAAGCTGGGAACCGTAGAACCCTAACCCATCTTGGCCTTTTAGGTGTAGCGCGGAGATTATAACGGAGTAATCCGGAAGTAATTGTTACACGATGCTACGCTCGGATGAGTTTCTCTTGAGAATATTGCGGATTATTAAGTAATCAAGACGTTGGTAATATCCGAAGGAGGAATGTAGACTCCGGGAAATCTTAGAACCTTGTTCTACAGGTGTGATTAAACCGTTAGTACATACCTTGGGGGTGTTCCTTACCTTGACTCCATGCTCGTGACGTTGAACCTTTCGACTTTATTTGTGACCTTGCTTGTGGTTGTTGCATAGCCATGCATTCATGCACCCATAAAACCCTTTTCACTTGACTTTGAAGGAATTTGGAGGTCTTTCTTTGTAAACATCACAAGTTTCGTCAAGCTCAATGGATCTTGGGTGTTGATAGGGCGAAAACCCTAATCCACCAAAATGGATGATTGATCTTGATGATAGCTTGATCAAGGTTTGGAGCCAATTTAAAATTCATCCTCTATCTTCATACTTTGATGTTTACAACTTAATATCTTGAGTTCCTTGAAAATCAAATAAAAACTCTCTTTTGCATATCATACATCATTCTACATTTTTTGTTTCACTGTCAAAGGTCTTTTTCCGAGTCTTATTTTTCCTTTGGTCTCACCAGTACAACACTCGCGCTAAGAAAACAATGGAGAATATCAAGCAAGAGGTTTCTGAACTCCGTAGAGAGATGACTATTTTGAAAGCTGGTATGGATCACTCGACTGTTTTGGGTTGAAATTTTGGTTACCGCCCAAGTCAATCCTTCTAGGATGGAGGAAGCAATGATAAAAGTCTTCACTGAAACTCTAAAATCATTCTCTCATGAGAAGGTGATGGTTAATGCACCTAATGACTTTCCTGACAAGGTGAATGTGGAAGTGCATCTAGAAGAAGATGTTGGGAAGGAATGTTCATATGAAGATGGTAGCTCAGCTAATGGTGTGAAGAAGTTTGATAATAACTTTTCCAAGAAGAGAACCAGAGGAAGAAATAATCATTGTCAGAATCATCATGTTTCTCCTATTCATCAACAGAATCAGCAAGTTCCTAATCAGAGGAAAACCCAGTTTGATCCAATTCCAATTACCTATACAGAGTTGTTCCCTATCCTGATGCAGAGGAATTTGGTTCAGACCCGACCTCCACCGAAGGTTCCTGAGAAAATACATTGGTACTACAAAGCTGATTTGGCTTGTACCTTTCATCAAGGTGCTCCTGGGCATGACTTGGAGGGTTGCTTTGCTTTGAAGATTGAGGTTCAGAAGTTGGTTAGAAGTGGTATCTTGTCATTCAAGGACGTTGGTTTTGAAGTTCAAATCAAGCATGCACCGAAGAGTAAACACGATTGATAGTGACTTTGATTTTTGAAGGATGTTTTCGGTAATTCAAGTCCAGAGGGAAAGCCTTCCTAGATTATTAACTTATTCATGCTTTTTGTAATTTTTCTTGTTTATCAAAACATTGTTTGCATGTAAGAACTTGTTTACATCTGAATGATTATCTTAATACAATGGGTATGTTTGTCTTGAAGAAATTCATTCGTTTCACTCATATTTGTTTTCAAATTTCAAATTTCTTTTTGCATTATGATACCAACTTGTTGCCCATTCTCTTGCCTAGGCAGAGATTAAAGGGAGGATGATGATCTAAAAAACACAAAATATTTGGTTGCATGCTTTTGAATAAGATCTTGTTGATGATGTACAAGCATTGTTTCAAATCCCTAAACACTGGAAATATAAGTAAGATAATCCCTTGCTAACCTCTTTTGAGCCTTGAAGTAGGAGTTTCTTTTCTATACGAAAAAACCTTGAATTTTAACCTGGGGCAGGGTAGTTTTCAGTTAATCTGACTGAGTGTTCAAAATTCATAAGGAAGATGTTTTTTTGAAGAGAAACTACGAGGGCTATCCTTCATGTATAATGAATCTAGAGGATGTGGAACCACAATGTTATCCCTCACTCATCAAGAAACGAGGCAATCACAATCCTCTCAACAAGCAAAGACAAGCTAATGTCACACATTTTGTTCAAAAAGTCAAAAATCAAGAAAAAGAAAAAACCTGCTAAGTCAAAAACATGAAAACTTACGACTTAGGCAAAAACTAAGGCATCCCGCTGGACTATCAATTCAAAAGAATTAGTTCAGGAAAAAGTTAGGGAAAATAAAAATTGCAAAGAAATGACTACAAAGAAAATTCCTCAGCAAAGAACAAATTAGTGACTACAAACACGAAGACATGAGGGTGGTTTCTACTCTGAAAACCTCGTCATTTCCTTAAGCGTCACAAAATCCTTTTGAGAGATGAACTCTCATGTTGAATTAACTGAACATAGGATTGGAGAACATCATGAAGGGGGTGGGCACCAAATATTTTGAGCCTTAAATCTTTTTTTTCCTAAAACCATGAACCAGACCACATTACAACCTTCAAAAGTCCTAATTGAAGCAAGGTTATTTTGAAAGCATACTTCAATGAGATAGTGTTCCTGACTCCCATGAATGTTTGTTAAATAGTTATGTTGGTATCATATGCTTTTGCTATACAAAAATTAATGGTGCTCTAACTCGTAAAATTTGTGGGATATCTTTTCAAAATCTTCAAGACTTACATAACTGTTGCATTAGAATTTTCATTCTCATAATAAACTTTTTCTAACCGCAAAACATTTGTTTGGTATCAAGGAAGCTCACATATAAGCACTAGCGATGAGTTTATTCTTTTAAGGCCTGAAACTATGTTGAGCAATTGGCGAATCATTTCAAAAAATCATATCCAGAGGCATGCCACATGAAGACCTTAAGCACAAACATGTTGCTTCTCCCAGTTAATGCTTCTCCAACTTGTTTACCCTTTTGGGGCAAAATTTTAAGACTTTGTTGTGCCAACTACAGTCAATCCAGGGCAATCACGTCGAGATTCGACGAATCTCGCTAAGAGTTTGAAGACACCAAAGCATAGTGAATGCCAGGTCTTTTGTAAAATCCTCTTGAGACGATTTCTCCTTATTAACCATATAGCTTGGGGCATTTTAGAAGTGAAGTTATTCGCAAGAATTTTCGTGCAACATGCAGCTTATCAGCAGTAAACTTGGGGCATCCAAAATTAATCCTAGGGGCAATCCAGATTTGTCAAGATATGTTGTTCA